TATTATAGAATCGATTGGGGACTATCAAGATAGCGTATAGAGAGAGTATTCAATGTTCGGCGTGTCACTTCTCGTTTGCTATTAATCCCGTTTGGCTTAACTTTTGACACGAACTATAAAAGTGAAATTCTCGCAGAAGCCGCGTGCGGCTCGAATTTGTTGCACAGTGTAGCTGCTCTTTGTGGCTGCATAGGGGGCAATGTTGATAAACAAGTTTAAAGCCGAGGCAGCCGCGAGGCCGACACAAGATAAACGAGATGGCCAACGGGTGATAGCTAAAGAAAAAGTGAATTGATTATCGATGGCATCGGGGCGACAATAACAAAATTGAAAACAAGTCCACGCGCAGCGAGTCGAAGTGAAATTTACTTTTACTCGCCCCCCCCCCCTCCCCCCGCGCACTGAGGGGGCGCCCTTTAATTAAGATTTATGTGCTTGTCGCATCTAAGCTTTTCTTTATTTGTTGCTTTTGTTTATTTATTATTGGTTTACTTCCATGGCAGGAATCCCAACTGGTGGCGGCGACGCACCAAGTTGGAGCGAAGCCTGCTCATCCTGAGCGCTATTCTATTCCTGATTGCCGCCACAGGCTTCGGCCTCTGGATATTCAATGCTCTCAAGACGGTCGAAGGAGGTTCCGGATCTGGATCCGGAGACGCGGACCCCGAACCATCATTGGCTCCACCCGAGGCGACAGCTTTGCATAGCGATACCACGAATATGAACAAAGTGTCCGTTGAGGGTGCCAAAGAAAAGACGGATTCGGAGGACGTTTGCCTGACCAAGGAGTGCATACACACTGCCTCCACGGTGCTGAGCAAGATCAAGGCGGAGGTGGAGCCATGCGACAATTTCTACGAGTTCGCCTGCGGCACCTACATTGAAGAGGAGAATATACCCGATGACAAGGTATCCATCAGCACTTTCTCCGTCATCTCTGACAAGCTGCAGGAGCAGCTCAAGGACATCATCACCGCCGAGCGACCAGCCACGGAGCCCAAACACTTCCGTTTGCCCAATTTGCTGTACAAGGCCTGCATGAACAAGAGTATGTAACTGACTACTGATCCTTTGAATCCTGGAGAATCAATGCATTTTTTTGTTGTTTTATCTTTCAGCGTTGATTGAATCTCTGGGCGCAACACCCATCGCCAAGATTGCCAAATCCCTGGGCGGCTGGCCGTTGATTGAGGGCGACAGCTGGAATGCGGACGACAGCTGGACCTGGCAGGAGCAGGTCAAGAAATTCCGCAAGGCCGGCTTCAGCATGGACTACATCATTGACTTCTCCATTGGTGTGGATCTGCAGAACAGCACCAAGCGTATTATCGATGTGGGTGTGGAGTATGGGCAGATGGTTTCACACCTGATCCGATTTTCGATCTTCTTATAAACAGGTGGATCAGTCCGCGTTGGCTTTGAGTCGCGAGTACCTGGTTAAGGGATTCAATGAGACCCTGGTAACCGCTTATTATGAATACATGGTGGACATTGCGGTGCTTTTTGGCGCCAACAAGGACGAAGCCAAGAAACAACTGCTCGAATCGCTCGAGTTCGAAATTGCGCTGGCCAACGTGAGCACTACCAGATTCAGACTGGCCAAGACTATAACAATATCAATCCAATGGCTCTTTAGATCTCCTGGCCCAATGAGAAGCGTCGCAACTCATCGGAGCTGCACAACCTACGCACCGCACAGCAGCTGCAGGCTGCCTATCCGTACGTGGACTGGGTGGACTATATGAATGCCCTGCTCCCAGCTGGCCTCGCCGTGCAGGATGACGAGATAATCAATCTGACCGTGCCGCCGTTCTTCGACGAGCTGGGCAAGCTGCTGGCCAAGACGCCCAATCGCGTTATTGCCAACTATATGATGTGGCGCATACACGCCTTCTCCATTGGCTTCCTCAGCGAGGAGTTCCGCAAGCGGCAGCTGCAGTATGCCACGGCGCTGTCCGGTCGCCAGGAGCAGGAGGCCCGCTGGAAGGAGTGCGTCGATATTGCCTCCGGCAGGTTAGCATATGACCATCACACTTCTCTTCTGTTTAGCTTTGATTTGATTTTGTTAAAATGGTGTGCGGCTTTGGCCATTTAGGTGCCTTTTTTGCTGGTGCTCAATAAGCAATTTTCTATCCTTGTTTCCGTTTCCGTTTCTTTTCTGATTGATTTCTTTGTGATTTTGCAGTGACAGTGACGATCTCGAAGCAGACACTGATAGGTATTTAGAGAAATTCAACAAGCATACAAATTTACTTCATCGGCCGAATTCAGATACATATCCCACACAGACACCCACACACGCATACACGCAAAATCCCCAAGACATGCACTTACAAACCAATATCGATTTAAATGCCACTGAGTCCACTTTTAAAGTTAGCTTCAAGAGCTTAAGAGCTACCTGCGCACTTTCCTTTGAAGCAAGCTGGCAAGGTTAACGCGCTTGATGGGAAAATTCATCCAAAGCTTCAGCTTTTATCTTGTGCTAGGTGCGCTTTTCACTTTCATCATTTTGCGCTTACAGTAGGTGCAGATGCCTTTGCTTGCTTGCTGTCTGGAATATCCATCCAAGAATCCCGAAGCTCCTCTTTAGATTTTTTGGCATCACAGATGAATTTCCTCGAAATTTGTATACCCTAAACGTAATATCGATACGCAATAGATTAAAAACATAGCTTAATCAGATTTAAAGGGGCCAAAATTGTAGACACCTGCGACATTTACCTCTGCTAGCCTCTGAAAAAGGCTAAATGTAGCTATAAAATAGCTGAATTGGCAAAACTGCACGCAAGAGTCATGTGATACATGAGACAGACACATAAAATATGAGTTAATTTTTCATAGATCGTTGTTATTGTTTGTATATATCTGAAATTAGACCCTACTGAGGCATTTCCCTAGACTAGCTAAGGGAGCGGGTCGAATATTGATAGTTTGTAGAACAGAATTTGTAGAGAAAATTTGCTGTTTTAATTAATTTTCCCCTTGTTTGTTAGTGTATGAACGTAAGCACAATTTATTTGTTTTAAGTAAATAACTCATAAAAATTATCATTTTCCGCTTTTACGTAAAATCTCGACTGTTCATCAATCAAAAATTGCACTGAACAACAACAACTCCTACTACAACAACAACAACAACAACAACAACTGGTACAACCAAACCACATGAACATCGCATGAATTCACAACGATCAACATAATCAAATATCCATATTTAATATAACTATCAGCCTTGGCATATCCGTGGGCTCGCTCTACGTTCGCAAGCATTTCAATCAGGACTCGAAGTCGAAAGCCTTGGAAATGGTCAACGATATCCGCATGGTGTTCGACGATATACTGAATGAAGTCATTTGGATGGACGACAAGACGAAGAAGGAGGCCAAGGAGAAGCTTCATAGCATGGCCACGCACATTGGCTATCCGGACGAGATGTTGGACAACGAGAAACTGGCCAAATACTATGAGAAACTTGACATCGATCCGGAAAAGTATTTTGAGTCGTTTTTGAACATGAACATCTTTGGCACAGACTATTCATTCAACAAGTTGCGTCTGCCGGTTAACAAAACGGATTGGATACGTCATGCCCGGCCAGCTATTGTAAACGCCTTCTACTCCTCCCTGGAGAACAGCATACGTAAGTAGAGAGTTGCTAGTTACACCTGGAACCGTAAACTTATTCCTATCTATTGCAGAGTTCCCGGCCGGCATACTGCAGGGCCATTTCTTTAACGCCCAGCGACCCAAGTACATGAATTTCGGAGCTATTGGCTATGTGATTGGACATGAAATCACACACGGCTTCGATGATCAAGGTCGTCAGTTCGACGTGAAAGGCAACTTGCGGGACTGGTGGCAGCCAGACACACAGAAGGCCTATCTAAAGAAGGCACAGTGTATTATTGAACAGTATGGCAACTATACGGAAAAAGCCACCGGCTTGAACGTACGTCTGTTCTTAACTATTCCACTCAAAAACTGGTATTTTAATTGTCCACGTTTTTCCACCTCTACAGTTGAATGGCATCAACACTCAAGGCGAAAATATTGCCGATAATGGTGGCGTGAAGGAGTCGTATATCGCCTATCAACGCTGGGTAGAGAAACATGGGCCGGAGCCCAAGTTGCCTGGCCTGGACTATACGCCTCAGCAAATGTTCTGGATCTCGGCTGGTCAGACTTGGTGTGCCAAATATCGTAAAGGTAAACGTTGAAAAATATTATTTTAACTAAATCTTCTTAAATAAAATAAAACAAATGTTTTACTTGTAGAATCCCTTAAGATGAGAATTACAACAGGCGTGCACTCGCCCTCAGAGTTCCGTGTGCTGGGCTCGCTGGCCAATATGAAGGACTTTGCCAAGGACTTCCAATGTCCAGAAGGCTCGCCCATGAATCCTGTGCAAAAGTGTGAAGTCTGGTAGAGACTACCCGCAGTAGAAAGATTATCTTTCCATAAAATATATTAGATTGTGTGTGTGTCTTTGTAGTAAACTAAAGCGGTATTTAGAAACTCTAAAAGATGTATTAGCGATCATGCCCGCGTTCTATGGGCTAATCTCACGTAGATTTACCATTACTACCCCTAGCGTATTTATGCTGTGTGAGCATAATGTAAGAAAAATATTTAATAAATTTTGTTTATATGTATGACTATGTTTTCTTGGATTTCTTCTTTGCAGTTTATTACAGCGCGAAACCTGACCAAATTTTTGTAAATATTCAAATCAAATGTAAATTTCCAGGCTTGAGATTTAATTATGTAAGACAAAAAATATGTTGACTGCAAAACATTTGAATTCGATATCGATCGATAAGCGATTAAGATAAATCGCTCGGCCTTAATCGATATGCAACTCAACAGTTTCACAACAGCTTCAAATCGCATAACAACAGCTTGGCAGCACTTAATGAAAGTGTTGCCACAAACTGAACACAAGTGGACAGCCTCAAAAACATCGGCCACCCACCACAAACAATCGCACATGCTCTGCCATCCCTAGGTCCTTTTCACGCAGCGTGGCGATTGCTAAATTTTTTGTAAATTTTTGCATTCTTTATAAAAATAAATAACAATGTCGGCGCTTAATTTAACTGTGCGCGTGCATCCCGTGGTGCTGTTTCAAGTTGTAGACGCGTTTGAGCGTCGCAATGCCGACTCACATCGAGTTATCGGCACACTGCTGGGCTCGGTTGACAAGGGAGTTGTCGAGGTTACCAACTGCTTCTGTGTGCCGCATAAAGAGCACGATGACCAGGTGGAGGCGGAGCTGAGCTATGCCCTGGACATGTACGATCTGAACCGCAAGGTGAATGCCAACGAGAGCGTCGTCGGCTGGTGGGCAACAGGCAACGAGGTGACGAATCACAGCTCCGTCATACACGAGTACTATGCGCGCGAATGCAACAACCCGGTCCATCTGACTGTGGACACTTCGCTGCAGGGCGGCCGCATGGGCCTGCGCGCCTATGTGTGCATCCAGCTGGGCGTGCCCGGCGGCAAGACCGGCTGCATGTTTACCCCCATACCCGTGGAGCTGACCAGCTACGAGCCCGAGACCTTTGGCCTGAAGCTGTTGCAAAAGACGGTGGGCGTATCGCCAGCACATAGGCCCAAGACTGTGCCGCCAATGCTGGACCTGGCACAGATCTCAGAGGCGTCGACGAAACTGCAGTCGCTGCTGGAACTCATACTGAAATACGTGGACGATGTTATTGCTCACAAAGTGACGCCGGATAACGCTGTCGGACGACAGCTGCTCGACCTCATCCACTCAGTGCCACACATGACCCACGAGCAGTTCACTCAAATGTTCAACGCCAACGTTCGGGATCTGCTGATGGTTATCACTCTCTCACAATTGATCAAGACGCAGCTGCAGCTCAACGAGAAGCTAACTTTCCTGCCAACGGCTTAGTCGGCGTGCGGCTCATTGGGTTTTTAAGTCAGATTTAAGCGCTAAGTAAATTCTACGTATTCTCTATTTCCCGTTAATGCGTCTAAGTAATAAAGTGCTCAGATCACCGAGAAACCTGGTTTTATTATTGATATAAGGTGATTTGTTAATTTTTGTCAAATTTGTTAAAATTTGTCAATATCGGCGCTTCCGGTTTGTATCAAAGAATTTAGTTATTAGTAATTGGAAATATCTCGGATTTATAATGTCCGATTTTTGAGTGATATACCTTTTCGTACTCGTGTAGTTCATGACTATTGATTGGCATTCAAATATTGATATAATAAAATTTGACAAATATTGCAAGGGGTAACATCACAATTTATGCCTAACTTGGGTCGGTTCAAAATTAAAATTTTTTTAAACCCTATTTGCTCTATGGAGTTTACCGAGTCAGAAACGATGAATATTTCCAAGATCTGAGCTAATTTCCCCGAGTTATGTACATTTAAAGATTTAAAAAACTTAACTTATTTTAGGTAAACTTCGTTCGAATTTCGAATGAATATCGATGAGCATTCGAAAATCCCCATTCTATATTCATGCTCATTCTATATTTTCTCCAAATTTAAAAAAAAAAAAAAATTTTGTGGAAATAGGTTCGCTTCGAAATATCATAAGTTTTTACTTCAATCTGTTCTAACGATACTAAGATCGGACTTCCTTAAGTCGAGCTATAATCTTTTGTAAGTTTTTCAAAAAGTTCGAATTTACACATTTCGGATAAAAAGAGTTAGATTCTGATAATTATATACCATTTAAAAAATCAAAGAAATCGAAAATGGTAGATTCTATTTTATAGACTTTGATGATTATAATAGCCAAGCAGATTTATGATCTTTATCCAGGTTATAGTCATTTAAAGTTCGTACGCTGATGAATTGAAAGATTTATTTTTGGTTACGGTTGAAATATGTATATACTTTATTTAAAACTAAACGAAATTCCAGCTGCCTTTTTACAGAAAAAAAGTTTTTCGCATAGCGATTAATGTTCAAATTGGTATTCAAATGAAATGCGCATAAAACTCAGATTGAATGATGTTGAAAACACATTCAGAAATGTGGACAACATTCATGCAAATTTTGTCGCTTATGCTTAATTACAATAAATAAGAATAAGAAAATACAAATATATTAAATACAATTATTTGTTTATGTTTCATGTTATACAAATAATAACGACAATTAGAATTTAAATCGCTTCATTTATGCAGATATGTATATTTGTTAGTGTATGCTTGTGTGTATGTATGTATGTATTTTTATGCACTATATCATTTTAGGTACATTGGGTACGTCGTGAAGGTTTCATATGGTATTTGTAGGAGCTGGGCGTGTTGCTGCAAGTCTTCAAAGTTTGTTTTACAAATGTTGGTGAATTAATTAAAATTGTATCGATTAAAAGAAGCAAACTCTTCCACTAGTAGGCAATTCAGCAAGTGTTTTAAAATAATTTACAATTAAAATGTTTCTTGTTTGTTGCCAAACGAAACATAAATACGTATCTATGTAATATATATATGCGTATGTAAATGTAGGCAAATGTACAATATTCAATCAAAAAAAAGAAGCAGAAATTTAACAATATTCATAGACATTTTTGTTCATCTTAACACACATTAAATCTATCTAAATATTTGAATTTGACTTTGACTTGGCAAAAAACATCAGAGCGAGAGAGCTTGGCTTGTATGTGTATGTACATGTATGTGCATGTACATATACATATATATTATTTATAAAAAGTTAAAATCTGAATCAAAAAACACTATCAATATAATGCAAAATTTGCAAAATTGAACGATAATTCGCATTCGACGATAAACATTTAGCTGACAAACATTTCATATTCATATATATATATAAATACCATATATAAATTGACTTTAGGCTTTAGCTTTAACATTTAACATATACTTTATATGTACTGTATGCATGTGTGTGTATATATATATTTGTATGTATGTATATTAGTACAACAACAACAATCGAAAGTTGCAACAAATTAAATACAACAACAAGGGCGGCATCCTCCTTCCGTCGTCCCCCCAGCGAGCCTAGACGCAACTGAATTTGATGCCGTCGTCGCTGGAATAACAGTTCTGGCAGTGGAGCTTGTGGTTCCGTACACGGACATCTGTGCCATTCAGTCCGTCCCCGAGTTGCACGTGGCACACGCAGCACTTGAAGCAGTTGATGTGATAGAACAGCAGCAGGGATTCAATTATCATGGCAGCTCCGCGACCTGCATTTAAAACATAAGCACAACATTAGGGTGACTCAAGAGTTAAAACCAAAAAAAAAGAAAAAAGAAGAAAATCTATAAGTCAAAGGTACCTTACTGGCAGCCTTGCAGTGCAGCTATATTAAGGTTAAATGTAATTTAGTTTAGTCTTTTAATAAGTCTTTTTTTCGTTGGCGCCTGGCCTAGACCCAGACAATGTATTTGAGCGCTTTGTGCACCTGCCGACAATTGTCGTGGGTGCAGCCCAAATCTGTGACAGACATGCAAACAGAGAGCAGTACACGGAGACAGACAGAGAGCAAAAGAGAGAGAAAGAGAGCAAGAGAAAATAATGTGTGAAACAAGAGCAACAGTAGAGGGAATAAAGTAAAGTTGGGAATAGATTTTACGATCGATTAAATAGCTAATTTGTGAAATATTTCTTAGATGGATAGATGGCAAGAAGCTTTAATGTAATTATTTAGGAGCTTTGATATTCGAATCCACATGTTTTTTTTGGGAATATAAAATTTGTTTATAGTTTTGAAATTTATTTCCAGCTTCTTCTTTATGATCTCAAAATAAATCCTGCGTCTGTAAAATATATTTTATATTTTTTTGAGTTAAATCGAACTTTTTACCATCCACTCATATCCCATTCTTTGGGTGAGTTTTTTATATATTGCACAAAAGATCTTTAATTTAAATTGTAATTGGAAAAACATAATAATTCGTTTCAGCTGATGTAATATTGTAATGTAGATATCATGATTGGCATCGCCTAAACTTAGCATATATGTACATGCATGGATACAAAGGTTGGTTTCTAGATATGTGTTCTTTTCGAACGATGAACGATGCAGCTATATGTATCTATTTATCAGATGATATCACGTTCTCAAGCCTATGAATGTAGTCAACGATGTTTAGGTTACTAGTAGAAGTAGAGGTAGAAGAAGAAGAAGAAGAAGAAGAACCACACTCACAACCAACGTAGTAGCAAAGTTTACCTAATTCGTCGCCGCAATGCGAACACTTCTTCTTGCCACTAACGCTGAGCACCTTCTCCTGATTGCTGCTGGCAGTGTTGTTGTTGCTGTTGTTGTTGTTGCTGCTGTTGTTGCTGCTGTTGTTGTTGTTGTTGCTGCTGTTGTTGCTGCTGCTGTTGTTGTTGGCAAGCGGCTTCAGGCCAAGCCCATTGCTATTCAACTGACTGTAGTTGCCGTTGCCCTCGAAGCTGTGAAGAAAATAAGGAAAGTAATTTTAGATTAAAGTCACCATGGAAGAGACTTAAGTCTAAGTTGGAAGAGTTGAAAACTATACAAAAAATGAAAAATAATAATAATATGCTTTTTAAAATGCATAAACGGAATGTCTTAAGACAAAGGAAATTGTTAAGAATAAGTGAACGTAAGAATGTTGAACTTAGTTGAAGTTGAATTAATAGCCTTGTAATATATAGAAATTTTAAAATGGAGAAAATGAAAGTCATTAGAACAGGAATCTACAGTATCTGGAACTATTTAGGAACTCTACCCACCGCTTGCGTTCGCCAATGCCTTTGCTCTGGACCCGCTCGGTGAGCGTTTGTATGATGGAATCGGGCAGCGGCTTGCCATTGGATGTGGGCGCGGGCATGGAGCGCCTGTTCAGCTGCAGCTGCTGTTGTTCGAGCAGGCGGCGGTGCTCGGCCTCCTGGAGCAGCCAGTGATTGGCATGGCCATTGTTGTAGAGCGCCCCATTGTAGTCCGGCATGGACTTGCGTTTCTGCAGCCAGGCGGCATCATTGGCCAGATGATGGTGCTGCTGTTGCTGCTGCTGCTGCTGCACCTGCACCCAGCCATCGGTGTACTTGGGCTTGGGCGTGGCACTCAGCGCCAGCAGCGTGTTGCGCGACATGTTGCTCAGATTCTGCGCCGACTGGTGATGATAGGCGGCCGCCAGATTGGCCGTGTGACGCGGCGCAGGCGCAGCTGCTGCTGATACTGCTGCTGCTGCTGCTGCTGCTGCTGGTGGTGGTGGCAGCGGCGTGCCCGCAATCTTGACCAGAGAGCCGCCGTAGCCGCTGCGCTGGCGCGCACTGATCGCATAGTCCGGCTCCAGGCCGTGGCCATTGGTAGTCAGGTGCATGGCGCGCAAGGGCTTTGTGGGCGGCGTCGGGGGCAGCATGAGACGCTTGGAGAACTCATTCAGATCCGACATGGACTTGCGATAGTCTGTGTCCATCTGCTGGTATTGATAATGTGCTAGAGCCGCCGACGGCGGCGGCACTGCCCGCTGCTGTTGCTGCTGCTGCTGCTGCTGCTGTAGCAGCTGCTGCTGTGGCACATTCGCATAAATCTGCTGCGCCGGCGGCAGCTGCGGCTGCGGCGGCTGAAAGGCGCTCAGCATGCCATTGCCAATGCCTAGGCCATGGTGCAGATCCTGCAGCGAGCGCCGATTGTTGGACAAGAGCATCTTGGCGCCATGCTGCAGCTCGCGGCGCGCCAAATTCTCGCGCAGCAGCAGATTCTCGCGCTGTCGCTTTAGCTCCTCCTGCTGAAATGATCAACAAGTAACAAAAAAAACATTCAATCCGAATTTCTTGCCAGGATCAAAACCTGCACCTACCGAAAACTGGAGCAGCTCCCGCTCCACGCGCAGCACTTCGCCCTGTTCCCGTATCTTCTCCTCAATGGAGAGCATCTTTGCATTGGCCGTGGCGGTTGCCTCGCTCAGCGATTGGGTGGCGGCCGCTGCCGCCGTTGCAGATTCCGTCCACGATTCCGCCGAGTTGCCTTTGACCGTCTGCAGCAGCGGCGTCTGCGCAGCCAGCAGCGTCTCGTTCTGGTAGATGATCTCACCGAGCT